TGATTATTAAGAAACTCAACGGGATCCCCGTTTTCCACATCTTTACTTCCTTCATTGATATACAAAAATTCTCTTTCATTTCTTCTTTTGGTCTCATATATCATATAACAAACATATACTATATTAAAAGACTTATATTATATAAAGTATGAAATAAATATGAAACCTACCGTAAAAAATTAATATTTTTTAGTAATTTCAGGTAGAAATATCTATTTTGTATACGATGGGGTCGGTCCATGGATTTTTCTTCCTTTTGCCACATTTCGCTGAAAGGGTTGAAGGGAGATAGTGCATCAAGCTGTTCGCAAGGGCCAACTTGATCCTCTTCCCCAAGGATCCTAGATGAGGGAACCGTAGGAGAGCCGCCGACTCCAACTACCGTCCATGTATGATCCATACTAGATCTGACCTGTTTGGTGGTGCTTATGTTTTTCGGTGGTTTTTGTTGCTGTGTTGTTTGTAATTTTGTTAGTTTTTATCAATTTTTAGTTTTGTTTATCTATTGATATAATTATCTGGGGTAGTCTGTTGCTTTTATTCATATGATATTGCATATTAGACTTGTGCTTTCTTATTGGGGTGCTTGTATTATTGTATTTGTACCATCCTCTTGGGTGAGTTTTTCATAATGAAATTTCATCTTTCGACCACAAAAGAAAAGAAAAAAAAAGGAAACACTGAATTATTGAAAAGAAAAACACATTTTTGGAAAACGGTTGACTTGTGGTAAAACGTCTAATGAAAAGTAGAATTCTAATTAACGGATCATGAGCCTCTGCATTTAGCATCCGTGCATTTACACACATTTAAGTGAATGTTAACCATTAGATTAATCTAATGAACTTTAATAAGTCCACATCGTCATAATTGTATTAAACCAAAAATTAACCATTTGCACCTTATTATATTTATTCAATAACTCTGAAATAAAAAAAATAAAAAGGAATCCTATCCCTGACCCAGCCTCCTACCCCAACTGCTAGCCATGGCAGCCACCCCTCACTCCCTTTTCCTCACATACACCTTTAAGTTCTGTAGTTGGCAGGCACATATAAGATTTTCATATGCAGTACTAGTATTTGTGCCCAATTAATTTTCATTTGTGAATTTGCATATTTAATTGCAGTACTATGTCAAAAAGATTTGGATTTCATAAATTCTCTTCCTAGGTCTGGTTGAGTTCTCTTAAATGTGTATAAATGCATGAATGCTAAATGCAGAGGCTCGGAATCCCTAATTAGGAGTGCCACAACAAGTCTCTCCACATATACTTGAAAAATTGTTTTCTTTCAAAATTTGACTAAGTATGAAAAATGGACTTTTGAAATACTAATGTTTTTTCAATGATATTTTTGGCTGTTTATATTCTTTACATCTTAAATAAGCAAACACATTTTAAGAGATTTTAGTATGAATTATTATATTGACTTATTGAGGTATCAATATTGCTATAAATTGTATCGGACGGATACTAAAATTGGATTTTCATATTTTGATTTGTCGGGAATTTGGCTACATGGAGGAACTTCAAAACAATGGATTTAGATAAAATTATAAGGCAAATTTTTTTGTATGGACTATTGTAATTCATGTATGCCAAGATCTAGACAAGAAAGAAAGGAAGAAAACAAATTGATTTCAAATGATTCCTTTCACGTAGTCATTTTAAATCAATTTCAAATGTACAACATCTAGTTATTTCAAATACATTCAATATAACGTGGTTTTTGTTATTGTAGCAAATTTAGTATTTTTCGTAATTTCTTTTTTCAAATTGAATGTAGCTTTTGTGGAACATGAACCTGAAAACAGAAAAGTTGGCGATTTGCTGCTCTCTTTGGTTAAATGGTGCCAGCAATTACCCGTTGGCCATACTGTTTAAAAGCCTTGTATAAAAGAGTTTCTGGCTTTCTTCTGGTGCTGAATGTCAGACTAAATGAATTCAAATGCAAAAAAGCCTTGTATAAAATCATTTACACCTGAACTGAGGGTAAAAGAAAAAGTGGCATTTTTTCTTTTGAAAGCAAATGGCTTCTTTTTTTCTTTTTGCTTTTTTGAATTACAGTGATTAGGGAGGGGGTAACTTTTTCCTCGGATTCGAACGGTGACCAGTGGGGAAGGAGAAGGGGGAGGGACCTCACCGACAATTTCTCAGAAACTATGACGACCCCGTCCCCATCGCCATGTGAAGGCACAGAAAAGTATATATGGCCTGGCCATGCGGTGCCAAAACCAAGCTGGAATGCACTTTCAAAAGGCTACAACACAGACAAAAAAAGCTGGCATGCATATGCAGCACAACACAACGACCCATGCGGAAAGACTTGTTGTGGCACTGTCAATTAAAATTCTACTTTTCATCAGACGACCCAATCCCCATCCGCCATGTGAGTGAGGGCCAGAGAACAGTCCTTGAAAGTGAAAGAGACTCTTCAAAGGTCAATTTACAGAACAGGCTAATTTAAAATAATGACAAAACCAATCAAAGAAGACATTTCGGCATTTCCTCCTCAACTTGCTCCACTTGCTGTTCCACATCAAATATTCAAAGCTTTCCCACGTGATTTGATTAGATTTTTGTCGAATGGCATCTCTTATCTTATCTTCAAATGTCAATAAATAAAGTGTTTTCGATTCAATATCTCACAACTTCATCTGTGTATTTTTATGAGATGTGTTCCTAAAGCCCAGTGCTTTTTTGGATAGTATTTTTGTGAGTGTGGAAAGTTGATAACAAGTAGAGAATGTGATAGAATTTGTAAAAAATGTGGAATGAAATGATGGGGAAAATTTTTGAAGAAATTTTAAGGTATTTAAAGACATATTTTAGGATTTTGGTTACTTACTCGTTTATTTAGTTTTACTTATACAAAATAGTCTTTCGTATGTGAAACAGTAGCTAAACCTAAAAGATTTTTATTTTGTATTTTTAGTTGGGATGTTCCACTTCCACACTTAACGGATCTTAGCTTAAATGAGTATACATATATAATGGTCTCTTTTTTGTGTTTTACATTAGTTTTGTCTCTATTTCTTTAATCTTTATGCATCATTTCATTGTGAAGCATTTCTTCATTTCATTGGAGGGGAAAAGAGTCATGTGGTGGCCCTCTCTGCTGAATTTTATTTGTTTGTGTTAATTGTGACAGCTGGCTCCACTACAACACGACACACATTCTCCTCGAGATGTAAGTTGTAATAATAATTCTACCAAGTTTCAAATTCATACCATAAAAATTTATAATTGTTCAATTGGCCATATGTAATAATAATACATAACTTCCAAAGATCTTGTAGCATTATTTAGTTATTTCGAACTTGTTCCAGATAGGTTGTATATGATGGTTTATTATTTTTTTAAAATGAACTGCCTTATCTTTTCCTTTTCGTCTTTTTAGTGTGTTGTAACTTGTACGATAGCTGAAATCGTTAATTTTTAAGGTCAAATTTGTGTCTATTCAAAATATTAAGTTCGTCTATTTATTTTATAACAAAAAAAATGTCTAAATAATTTTCGATATGGTTGACTTTTTTACAGATATGATTTTAAAAAGGAAGCCTCAAAGATAAGTCGGTTTCATTATCAAATTATTTCGATGGGATGAGATCAAATGAGAAATATAGCTAGCATTCCCCTTTTGGAAAATGTAACCGGTATTAATCCAATCAAATTAAACTTTCCATAATAGGTATTAATCTCTCGTCTATTTAAGTCAAACCTAAAACCAACTTCAAAATATTATATTTATCTTTCTTTATATAAATATTAATTGCACACATTATGTTATAGTTGATATCTTAATTATAATGTAAAATTATGCAAAACATAACTGGCTTGAAAAGCCTAATAAATAAATAAATAAATAATTGATATGCTTAGAGAAATTAAAAACAAATTAATAAATTGGCATGCCTATAGAAGATAATAATTGATATGAAAACCATTACATTACATGATATTGTAAAGTATTGGTAATTTAATATAAAAATAGAGATTAATAATTGATATGCTGGCAATGGCATCTATTGTTGGTGACATAAAGCACCCATCCACTTGGAAACAATAAACGAGGAGAAAGAAAGAATTGCTTATTTCTCAAAGTGAACAACACCAACCAATTGGACTCCTTCATTAAATAATTTCAAAACCACCGAAAGCATATTTGAGTCAAACATTTCTTCAACTTGCTCCACTCTCTGTTCCACACCAAATATTCAAAGCTTTCCCACGTGATTTGATGTATGTTTCCTCTTTCCTTTGTCCAATTATTATTACTCTTGTTCCACTTGCTGTTCCACACCAAATAACTCTATCAACAAACCACAACTTTCGTCAACAATACTCTTTTCCTTTCTCCAAGTGAATACTCTTTTCCTTTCTCCAATGGCAGAAGGAGTCCTCTTCAACGTTGCAGAAGGGATCATTGGAAGGTTAGGCTCCCTTGTTTTCCAAGAGATTGCCTTGCTTTGGGTGTCAAAGATGACCTCCAAAAGCTGAAGGAGAAAGTTGCCCAACTCCAAGCTGTTCTTCTTGATGCTGAGCAAAACAAGCCAACAATAATCAAGTCAAAGTGTGGCTCCAAAGCGTAGAAGATGCAGTTTATGAAGCTGATGACGTGCTCGATGAGTTTTTATACTGAAGCTCAGTGGAGACAAATGGTGCCTGGAAATAATAAAGTGTCAAAGAAGGTACGCATCTTCTTCTCTTGTTCAAATCAGCCTGTGTTTGGGCTGAAAATCGGTCGTAAAGTAAAAGATCTTAACAAGAGACTTCATGAGATTGCCTCGAATAGAACATTTGGTCAATTAGAAAGGAATCGTGAAGATGTAGATTTGTAAGAAGAGAGAGGGTCACTCACTCATTTGTCCGGGAGGATAATATAATAGGGAGAGATGAAGATAAAAGAGCAATTATTCAACTTTTGTTGGATTTGGATCCCATCTCTACAGAGAATACAGAGAATGTGTCCACCATTTCCATTGTGGGATTTGGAGGAATGGGAAAAACTGCACTTGCCCAACTCGTCTTCAAAGATGAGGAGGTTCAAAACCATTTTGAGCTGAAAATGTGGACGTGTGTCTCTAATTCATTTCAGTTGGATGCACTTGTTAAGAATATCCTAAAAGCGGATAACCTTGACATTGATCTGTTGCAAAATGAGCTTAGGAAGAAGATCGATGGGAAGAGATACCTCCTTGTGTTAGACGATGTGTGGAATGAAAATCGTGGAAAATGGCTTAGCTTGAAAGACTTGTTGATGGGTGGTGCAAGAGGTAGTAAAATACTGATAACTACTCGCAGTGAAAAAGTTGCAAAATAACAGACACATCTAAACCATATAACTTAAGGGGTTTAAGTGAAGAGCAGTCTTGGTATTTGTTCAAGAAAATGGCATTCCAAGATGGAAAAGAGCCAACGAGTTCAACCCATTAAAGCCCTTGGGGAGGAGATTGCTAGAAAATGTAAGGGGGTTCCGCTTGCTATAAGGACCATAGGACGGATGTTGTACTCCGAACATCAAGAAACTAAATGGTTGAAATTCAAGAAGAACAAGCTTTCAACAATAAGGCAAGAAGAAGATGATATTTTACCAACACTTCAGCTGAGTTATGATGTTCTCCCATCACATTTGAAACATTGTTTTGCTTATTGTAGTTTGTTCCCGCCTGATTATGAGATTCCCGTAGAGAATTTAATTAAGCTGTGGGTGGCACAAGGGTTCGTTAAGTCTTCTAATGAGTGCTTGGAAGATGTTGGTTATGAATATTATAACGAACTAGTTTGGAGATCTTTTTTCCAAGAAGAAAAAGATGAGTTTGGTATAATAAAAAGCTGTAAAATGCATGATCTCATGAATGAACTTGCTGTTAAAGTGGCAGGGGAGGGAAGCAGAATAATACATCGCAATAAGACTGATTTTGATGCAAGACGTCTTCTTCATGTATCTTTCGATTTTGATGTTGATTTGTCGAAATGGAAAATACCGACATCCTTGCTGGAATCAAATAAGCTAAGGACTTTTCTTTTCCTAAGGCAATCCAGGGGGTGGGAGAAGTCATTCCATAAGTCATTTTGTGCTACAATTGCTTCAAATTTCAAGTCATTGCGTATGTTGAGTTTGAATAGATTGGGAATTACAAAATTGCCAAATGTCTTAGGAAAATGAAACATTTAAGATATCTTGATCTTAGTGAAAATCCCATTCAGAGACTTCCAAATTGGATAGTCAAACTTCAAAATTTGGAAACACTAGATCTCAAATGGTGTGACTCTCTTGTGGAATTGCCTAGAGATATCAAGAAATTGATCAACTTGAGGCATCTCGTTTTGGAACGTTGTGATAACTTGGCTCAAATTCCTCCTGGATTGGGCCAATTGACTCGTCTTCGTACTTTGAGTATGTTTGTTTTGAGTGAAAAGAAATCCATGTCCAAGGACAGTGCAGGGCTCAGTGAGTTGGGGAAGCTGAAAGATTTAAGAGGAAAGTTGGAGATCAGAAATTTGGGGTACAAGAAAGATATGGTGTCAGAATTGAATTATGATGGTGCAGTTTTGAAGGAGAAACGACATCTCTATTCGTTGACTTTACATTGGATGGGCATCGAAAGAGAAAATAGTGATGCGGTTGAGGAGGAGAGTGATGTAATTATTAAGTCAATGGAAGCGCTGCAGCCCCATCCAAGTCTAAAACAGTTAACCTTGGTGAACTATATGGGTGCGAGGGTTTGCGAGTTGGTTTCATTCTCTCACAAATATTGTTAATCTCACATTGTCTGACTGTGATAGATGCCAACATCTTCCACCGTTGGATCATTTACCTTTTCTTAAGAGTCTTGACCTTTGGGGTTAAGGAATTTGGAGCACATATCAGCAGAAGACAAGGTTAAGGACTTTGCCGGTGATGAGATGATGATGATGTCAGCTGCTTCTCCATCGACGACCTTCTTTCCCTCCTTAGAGAGTCTTTATCTACATGATTGCCCTAATCTCAAGGGATGGTGGAGGAATGAAACAGCTTCAGCTTCTTCATTTCGTTGTCTTTCTACTTTATCCATACAGAGTTGTCCTAACCTAACTTCCATGCCGCTGTACCCAAATCTTGATAGCCTGGGGTTCAAGAGCAGCAGCTGGAAGGTCCTTCCCTCCTCCTTTGTTCCCTCCTCCAAATTAAAGTTTCTGTACATTACAGCCGTTGAGGATATAGAATATGTGCCAGAAGAAGGGATTGGAAACCTCACATTACTCCAAGAGCTCTCAATTAAAAATTTCCCTAATTTGGTATCACTACCAGATCAAGGGATGGGTCGCCTCATCTCTTTACAGAGACTGCATATTTCAGATTGTCCTAAATTGACATCACTACCAGAAGGGATCGGCAACCTCACAGTACTCCAGAAGCTCTCAATTATAGATTGCCCTAATTTGGTATCACTACCAGATCAAGGATGGGTCGCCTCATCTCTTTACAGAGACTCCTTTTTTCACGTTGTCCTAATTTGACATCACTCCCAGAAGGGCTTTGTTGCCTCAGCTCCTTACAGGAACTGGAAATTTGGGATTGCCCGAAATTGGCGTCACTACCAGAAGGGCTTCGTTGCCTCCCCTTATTAAAAAAGGTTGACAATTGGAGATTGCCCCATCTTAAAGCAAAGATGCCAGAAAGAAACAGGCGAGGACTGGTCCAAGATTGCTCACATCCCAGACATTCGCATTCTTGACTAGCTTGGTGCGTTTTTCTAACTAATTTCTTTGTTTTGCATTCACATTTTGATTCAAATGGCAACCAACCTGAGCTCTTTCATTTTCTTCTTTTTCAGGTCCATTTTATGATCTTTAAGGGTTGGGTCAGTGCACTAAAAACTCTTATGGCTTGATTGTGATTGTGCAACAGCAGATCACCCAACAAAGTGGTATATATGTATTAGATGATGACCCCTTCATCCTAGCATTGTTTTGTTGTTGGTATGTTCACATGATTCGGTTTTGTTTCTTATTTTTCTTTCATGGATATGCAGTGATGAATTTAGGTAATTGTAACTCTCAAATTTCCTTATGGCTTTTGAAATTGATGTCGTGTTGTGAAACCAGTTTGTATTTTGTCATAATGGCTGATATTTATGAATTAAATTCAGATTGATCTGCCAAGAATGAGGTTAATTCTCTTCATTATTCATCTTTTGTTTTAATTTTTGTTTAAATTGAGAGATGTAAATATTCATCTTGTTAATTAATCCAATTTTTTGTTTAAATTGAGAGATGTAAATTGAGATGCAACTCATCGACGACCTTCTTTTTTGTTCTTTTTTTGTTTAGATAAAAGGGCATCCCTTAATTTTCTCAAATATAGCCTAGCCTAATACAAATCTAATATATCTGCGGTCTTTAACACCCTCATCAAGACCTCATCTGTGCCTCTCACCCTCTCCCCTTCCTCCCTGAGGATGCCTTACACTTCGTTCGACCACAACAAAAAATAATAATAATAAAGGGAAACTCACTGGAGTCCTAATGCCACCTATATATAAATCATGATTAGGTGGCTCCTTTCCTGGCAGTGTAGTTAGATGACAGCCTTCTGGCCCATGGGCTTTGATTAGGTGACCATGAAATTGGGAAGCCAAGCACGGCGCACCATCTTAGATTCAAAAGGGCAACAGCAAGCTTCTCTTCAGAATCTTTAAAAAGCTGTACTATTCGTGATTCAGCTTCCGTGTCTTCAGCAAAGATGAAGTCATCCTCAAATTCTGCCTTTTCTGGAAAGCTGCCATCTTCTTCACATATCATGCGCATACTCAAAACCTGCAGCGCTTCCATGGCCGTGCTGTGAAAACCACTGTTGGCATATGCAGAGAGAACAAAATGGCAGGTCGCTGGATCCGGCTGGACTTTTTCTTGGTGCATCCACTCAACGACAAATTCAACTACCTCAATCACTTCCTGACATTTATTGCAGGGGAGAAGAAAAATATATATTACTATCGAATAATGCAACCACAATTTTTGTACATCGAGAACCATGCTGCTCTTTTGATCTTACCTTTTCACAGGCTTTTTCAAGAATGGTATTAAATAGCAAGGTATCAAGTTCATTGCGTTCTGAACTGGCTTGATCCAAAAGATTCAATGCTTCCTCAATGTCATCATCTTCCAACAGAATCTGGAACAAAACAAGATTCAACATCTCCCTCAAAGTCATCATCATTAATTAAATATCTTTATAAACATCTGAACTTTCCATAAATGAAACTTACGAGGACAACAAAAAATTCTCTTTTTGTAAGAGTTCTTATTTCATCCAAAAATGTGGTCACGCAATGGGCTATCGAAGAATTTCTATAGCTTATCTATTCAACTTGAAATGGAAGTACATTCTCAGACCAAAAACAAAGAAAAGAAATTAAGTGCATTCATATATTGCAAATACACTAGTCAGAAAAAAATAATTAAAAAAACACGATGAAGGATGAAGGAAGGGGTTTTTGTGTAAACAAAGCAGAACTAAAATGTGACTAGTTTGCGCATCAAGAGCTGGAAAAATTACACTTTTCGATCGCATACATAAATGGTAGCAGTTTCCTAAGATGCATGATAATTCAGACCGAGTAATCATAATATTAAAGCTACCTTTATGAGAACGGTATAAGTCACTGTTAGTGGATAAAAGCCATCTCTCAACATCATGGAGATCAATGCGCAAGCAGATCTGTAACATCCTAGAATGCTACAACAATCAATCATTATGTGATAAGTCGCAGCATCTGCCGGGAAACCAAATGACTTCATATTTTTAAATATCTTAATTGCCATTTGACTCTGCATGTAATCATCAGAAACAGAAAAGTAGATGAACACTGGTCCAATATTCCACATATCATGAAGTTGCAAATGAAAGGAAAACCAATGGTGATGAAAACACCTACTTCCTTAGCCTCAACAAGTGAATGCAGCACTGTATTATAAATAGGTGTTCCCAGATAAATGTTATTACGACAAAATATATTCTCTGCCACGTCCAAATACTGGATCAGCTCTCTTATCATCCCCTCTGCTCCAAGCGCTTTCAACTGGAAAAACAAAAATTGAATGTCATAGATGAGGCTGGTGGGACAGGGGAAAAAGAAGGAAAAGAAAAGGAAAGAATGCTAGAGTAGGGTTCCAGATAAGGAAAAATAAAATAAAATAACAACAGCCCCCTTGGTGGCATGTTGCAGAAAGGAGGCAAGTACAAAGAACACAACTTTTACTGTTTCCAAGCAAATAAGCTTCTAGAAGACAACACAAAAGTTGTATATTGATCTCATATAATCAATATTTATGCAAAAATAAGAAGTCATGAGTGAAACACCCTGCATGCACATGAAAGTTTTTAAACACTAATTTATCTTCCTTCTGTAGATGGTGTATGTTCTCCTTTTAAAACTTTTTCCAGAGACTTTGATGTGCAAGCTCAAGGAAATAACTACAGATACCAGGCCTAAGAGGCATGGAAACAATATCCTCGAAAAAGTAATGATGCATATGACGTACGTCTTTAAATAATTGGCATTAGTGTTGTATGCACACAGCTACAATTTTTTTAATTCTATCACAGTATCCGTTGTTCCCTTTCTCCTTAGCTGCAAGCAGAACTAACAGCCGCAATAGGTGAAAGATGAAGTCCGTATAGAAATTTTTAAATAAAAAAGTGTGTATCATGCTCCTTATACCTTCATTTTGAATGAAGAATCTGTATTATCTTACCTACACTATTTAATAAACCATGTAAAATATGCAAAATTTTCTCCAGTCACCTATCAGACCATAAATTTTCTAACTGTGCAGTCCAGTTATCAGATGCTGATATTCTTAAGATTTCCATGTACAAAACTATGCACCATGTTTCATGCAGTGTTTCCATAGATAAACATCATAACCACTAAAACATCTTAACCATAGCAGAGACTAAGGAACCAGTGTAAAAAATAAAAAATAAAAAATAAAAAATAAAAAATAAAATCGATAATTAAAAAAAAGATAAAAAGATAAAAAGAAAGAGGATACTAACAAATGCTTATGTTGTACAGTGCAAGCAGAAGACAAATTCCATACTGTCTCCCACCATATACATACCAATGACCCTTGTCAATCAGAGGCAGGAATATGCCACCTATCAATACTCCATTTCATTCTCTAAACTAAAAGGAAGTATACATGAGGGTAGGGGGTTACCAAGTTCTTCATTGATAAATAACTGTGCTGAATACCATATCTTGCCATATCCATTTCTATAGCATTAATGCGTTTAGCAGCATCCACCTGTGACAACATGTCGCCCTCTTCGTATGGGGCATTCACGTTACCAAATAACGAAAACAGCAGCTCATATGTCCTAATATCAGGCATAACTTTTAATTTTTTCATTTTAGCCAACATCTGCACTGCTCGTTCAGGTTGATCCTGCATAAGTCATGCAACAATATTTGAATTTACTGGAGACAAACATGAAAAAAGCTTTCAAGTGCTGGAGAATTACAACTGAGCATAAAACAGATGAAACTTTCATAAGATGACGAAAATAAGAAAACAGAAAAACATATCCTAATTAGGGTTTTAAATCGCTAAAGTGTTACCTCCCATGAGGTGAGGGCTAAGCCTCGAAGCGTAAGCTTTTTAGGCATTCAAAGCGTAATAAAAAAATATATGAAAATACATATTATAGTGAAAAAATAGCATGATACTCACAAGTAAATAGTATAATATTTATTTTTATTTGTTACTTATTAAATACTCATATATAAAACATAGTGTATAGCAGATTCTTTGAAAGACCCGAGCCTTTTTCCAACAGTTGCTTCGAAACACCCACTCTCTTTATGAAATTGAAGGACCCAATGTCTTCCTCTCCACTTCTGACCCAATTTCAAAGCTCCCATGGCTCTTTCTCTCCATGGCTCCCTCTCTATGGCTCTCTCTCCAAGGCTCTCCCACTCCATCTCAAATTCGGTAAATGTGGTTCTAGCCACTATGTTGCTGGAGAAAACACTAGAAATCACCTCAGAGAAGCCAAAAATGGTTTATTTTTATTTTTATTATTATATATATATATATATATATTAATGTTGGGTTTTCAAATCCCAGGCCAAACGACATTGTTTTTCTGAGCCATCTTCTTCCTAAAAGGCTTACGCCTCTAAGGGGATGAGTAAGCCTCGAAGAAAGGTGTACGCCTCAGTCCAAAAGCATACGCTTTTGGTGACTTAGCTGCGCCTCGAGGCAAATTCCGAGGCGCGTTATTTAAAACATTGATCCTCGTTGATACTTCTATCATGCTGCCCTCTGCTACCATATATACCGAGTTTTGATATGCCCTTACATAATTCCTTTTATTAGAGCCAAAAATATTCATTACCTATGAGAACAAGAATGAAGAAGCATAACTCGAACAAAGCTCGTCCTAACATTCACAATATTGAAAACCATAACTAAATCTCTTAAATTAGCATCAAACTAACTCTACTCTTACTCTTATGAGATATTCAAAAATTTCAGGGACCAGGATCTTTTCTTTTCTTTTTGTATAGGGACCAGGGTCAGCACCCTACATCATAGACTACCTATTTCTGGTGGATTCTAATTTTATAATTTTATAAGTTTTAAATAACAAGGCCACATAAAAGAAAATTTTCTGATATGAGAATTCAGATCTATAAAATATGACTCACCACCGTGTCACATGCTGCAAGAAAAGTATTGAAAGGATGTGGATATGAACATTCAGATATTTGATCCAGCAGAGCCTCAGCGAAATCCAATTCTAGCACTTTGCTGCAACCTATAGAAAGGTTTGCCAGAGTAGAATCATACGGCTTCAAATTTCTCTGCTGCATAATTCTTAACTGCAGAAGGATAACAACAATGTTGCAAAAATCTCTAATTAAAACAAAACCAAAATGCACAAAATACATTGCCAACAATTGCAAGATCGGTCTTTTTAAGATGATTGGCCTCTGCAATAAACCGATATAACTTACAATTTCCATTCCACTACTGAAACCTCGCTCAGAAGTAACTGCTCTGACAAAGCCATCATATGTATGGCTTGACGGTTGCAACCCAAATTTTTGCATCTAGACAAAAATGGGCTCCTTTAGTATGTCATAAGATGATATCTGAACGAGGTGCATACAAAATAAATAAATAAATAAGGGCAGGATAGAGAATCACATAACTAAAACAAAAAGTTGAAATCCACAAAGAAAATAGCCATCACAATCAAAACATACAAAACTAAACTTCTGAAGCTTATAACTACATTGTTCTCCAAACAAAAATATCATATTTAGCATTTTTTTCCAGAAAAAAAAAGGGAATATCATATTCAGTGAAGGTACCATATGTAAGATTTGCACATAAAAAGGAAAATTCCAGACATTGTAATATATTACACAAACCAACACAAGCTTCTATAGAAAGGTTGATGCTTCTATAGAAAGGTTATTATACCTGTAGGATCAACTGTTCTGCCAAGCCACCATTTCTTAATCGTGCACAAGCATGAATAACATCACTAAACGACCATCTCAAAATTTTCATAACAGGCTGGCTTATATGTATATCAAGCATATCCATTCGAACATTTTCAACTTCTCCAACTCCCAAGCCAAAAGCAGTGCACTCTGCATTAACAGCATGGCCGTCCAAATTCTCACAGTATATGGAAGGAACAGAATGTTTATTCTCCTCCAAATCAAGTTTCTTCAAGTCCAATTCACAGATTGAAGGTATAGGAATGTCTAGTCTTGGCGAATACAACTTTCCTTCAGAAGTTTTATTAACATAAGTGTTTCCCCTGATGGCTAAAGTCACCATATATTGCAACTTCTCATACGCAGATTTTAAATCTCCCAATCTAGTAAAAGACCAAATAAACTTCCGTAGAGGAATAATGCTCAGACTGTAGTGTTTGATATAATCCTTCCAAATTTCATGGGCCGCAGGCAGGTTTTGCTGCCAAACTGCAAGCTGAAAGAAATGAAAATGCAGAGTAACTATCAATGACCCAAATAACTTTAGAATAGATTGGTCCACTGTCAATATTTCACAAAATGCAAGGTAAAAGTGAACTACAAGGAAAACTGTTCACATCACCATACGGACATTGCAAATATTCAAGAGAGCAGCACATCATCATCATCAAAGAGAAAAATGTCAATCAAACAGGATAGTTCCAGACCTACTTTTGATTGAAAAGTTTAATGCTACAGTTGGGGCTTCATTAAGAAATTAAAACTGATCCTTTTATCCCCTTACAAGCACATTGAAGCAGTACAACACAAATGCTTTGAAGCCATGAATGGGGAGATTAATAGTAATCTAAATACATTATATGAGTCACCCATACCAATTCTAATGTTAGAAAAAATAAAACTGTTGTTAAAGTGATGAGTCAAAGGCTTTGTGCTTGAAAAGAGGAACAAAATAATATTTAAACAAATACAAAACCGTTTTGCTTTACATACCTTGAGAAGCTCTGAATATGTAACTTCATTCTTCCCCACCATTTGATGCTCCATCAAGTCCAAACACTGATTGGCATTTTTTATACTCTGCATTTTGGCACAAGCCCTTAAGAAACTGTTGTAGATAGGTAGAACCGGATAGATGCCAGGACTTTCTCCAAGGAAATTTATCAACTTAAATGCCTGATCAAAGAACAACAAATGTGGACACAAGAATATTAAAATATTAACAACTGACAAAGAATGATGGTAAAAGTATGGTTGCATCTTAATGGTGGTTCTGATAACTACAGTAATAATATTACAGTAATCCTACCAAGATAGTTTTACTATTACCAGATGACTAAGCTAGCTAGATAATACCTTTTAAGTATATAGCATGAATCCTACCTCCTCCAAATATCCTCCTTTACATAGAGCTTGCACCATAAGCAAAGAGCATATGTTATTCAGGCTAATCTCTTTTTCATCCATTATTCTCCAAGTCTCCATGACAAACTGCATGAAAAGGAAACAACTGCCAAATAAGATACACTTAGATGCTGAGACCAGTACCTATAAAAAGCAACTATTGACATGCAGAAAAATTGTAGGACACCATCCTTACCTTCGCAATGGCATTTTCGAAAGTTATTTAAGTCAAATAAAATTGGCAATGTGATCCTACCGATATAAACATGTTCATTGCGCAGAAAGTGTCTATATATAGTTTGCTAGGTTTTCCTTTGACACTCTTCACATTACCATAATCAGGCACAAATATCAACAACTCAAATGCACTAACTCTCATTATCTCAGCTAACACACAAGTGAACTCAATCCTATGTATGTCAAACATATAGGTTAAATGGTGTGATTAAACACTAACAAAACAAATCAACCTACTTAAACAATGTATACAACACGTAGTAGAATCAGACACATAAACACGCATACACAGTGTGTCTCAACTAATTGCATGTTCTTCAGCTTACCAATGGATCAGGTGACTTAGCACAGTAATTAAGAATATAGATGAAATCATCAGCTCTTAACGAATCATTCCCATGGCCAAGATTCAAAAGCAGATTGGAAGCTTTGCCTCTCTCACCCAAGCGTAGTGCATCAATAATTTGTATCTGCATGGACCTGGTAATTGATTCTGCGCTGTGCCACAAAACTTCATGACCTGCATTTATCATCTTGCACTCAAATTAACCAAAGGTTACTGTAGAGACATAAAGTAAATGGTCTGCACATTTATCCTGCTTCAAGATATAACCAGGGCTAAGAAAACGAGAAGAAAATATGTCAAGCCAACTAGAAATAATTGGAGTTTCTTTATAAGAAATTTTAACAATTGCAGTTCAAGCTTGATTTGACTACCGAGATAGTACCAAGTAATTGATAGGTACAGTGCACCTATACATACTATAAAACATGCATATTTACTAATCTAGGTACCCGCACAAGTTGAAGAATTTTGAAACATTACCATTTGAAGTTGTAAGAGTTCGAGAATACTCCAATCGGTCGGGACCAATTCTTCGTCCCTGCAAAAACAACACTGATAATGAAGCAGAATATAACAATAATAGTAAAGATAAGAAGAAAATTAGAATTCTACTTCCACTCGTTTCTATAACGAAATGTCCCAGAAACCATATATTATAAAAACATACATGGTATTGTGGTTGTGACTTAAAAAGCGAATCTGCGATTGACCGCAATGGAACCCTCGCTCTGTAAAAAGAAGTAAAAATGCGAACAAGGTCATGTTATGCTGATGCCGTATAAATGCACGTTCAACTACAATGTACTTAGAGAGGTCTGTGCATGGTCAGGGCCGCTCAAAACCTGTTGTATATGCTCAAAATGCTTTCTTTCATGGTTTACTGGACAACCGAGTTCCTTTTTCTTCAAAATTTCACCCGGATTCACAGTGTTTGAGAGGCAAAGATTCGATTTTGGGAAAATGGGTAGTCAACTATGAAGCATGGATACACCAATTTAGTGGCGTATCCCGTATCGGATACTTGTTTGGATACGATACGCTTCGGATACGGTCCGATACGCATCGGATACTTATCGCAGTCAACGGATACGTTAGTTGACTAACGGATATGTGTATCCGACATTCCGGACACGAGTATCTGACTTTTCGGATACGTTCCTCCGGACGAAGTTTGCCGTTGAGGAGACCCTGGGCGCTGCGTGTGAAGGGAGAGAGAGAGAGATCAGCGCGCGCGAGGAAGGAGAAGATGTCGACTAACCCAATTTTATTATCCCAAGTGACGACGTCGTTCGCTAAAACAGGATTTGTAATATATTTTTTCGGGAAATAGCTCTAGATGCCACCCTTTTTATAATTTTTTCTGGAAATACCACATCTTCCCAATTTTTTTGCAATTGGCACCTATAAATATATATTTATTGTCAACTTATTGCACACATATCACTTTTCTCTGAAATTTAGTTCTCTCTCTCTCTCTCTCTCTCTCCATCTAGCTAACTACCATCTTCTCATGAAGAAGAAGATCAAGAACAACCTACAGAACCCACAGCTTTGCCCTCAAAACCCAGTTCTTCCTCTTCCTCTCTGTTTTCTTCTCTACCCAAATCCAAACCCCAATTTCGTCTATCTTCGAATCCCTTCTGCAACCTAAACAAACCCAAACAAAACCATCTTTTCTGAATATGACAGTATGTGTTGGCATTAGGTGACCATTGTTTGAGCATTTTGGTCCAATTTTGGGGGGTTTTGAAGTCTGGGTTTACATGCCCTCTTCAAGAACAGCTTCTCCAGAAAATGAATTGTTGGGAATATGTAAGTTTTGATGTTAAATTGAACTAACTACGCATCTTCTCACGAAGAATAAGATCAAGAACAACCTACAAAACCCACAGCTTTGCCCTCAAAACCTAGTTCTTCCTCTTCCTCTTTGTTTTCTTTTCTACCCAAATCCAAACCCCAATTTCGTCTCTCTTCGAATCCCTTATGCAACCTAAACAAACCCAAACAAAACCATCTTTTCTAAATATGACAGCATGTGTTGGCATTAGGTGACCAGTGTTTGAGCATCTTGGTCCAATTTTGGGGGGTTTTGAAGTCTGGGTTTACATGCCCTCTTCAAGAACAGCAATCGTATTGTGATTTTATTGCGGTTGTATTGTAGTCGTATTACTTTTGTGTTGCTGTATTGATTTTTTTTGGTGTTTTATTGATATGTTACTGTAATTTAATAGGAATATATGTTGATATCATTTTTCTTTATTTGCTTGTGATTTGAGTAGGAGTTGAGATTATTCTTGGCTGAAGTATTATTTACAATCTCTCTCTTTCTCTCTCTCTCTGCTCTTTGTATTTTTCTCAACATTTATGTGTTAATTTAATATCTGGCATTGTTTTGGAACCATAATCATTGTCAATCTCATTGTTTCTTTAAAAGATTGTTGTGAAATTATTACTTCATTTTCTTCTTTCCTTTGTTTTAAGATATTTTTGTTTGGAGAAAAAGAACTCTGTTTTTGTAATCTAAAAGACTTGGTACTCAGGGCACTTCCAGCAGTCAAAATGTTGCCATGGCAAGGGGGGGTACTATTCACGAGAATAGTGTCTGCCCTTGCAAAGTAAGTTGCACTTCCAGCAGTTGCCAGGGCAAGGGGGGGGTACTATTCAATTTTTTGTTTTTTTCCCAAATTTGTTTACCTAAACAATTAATTTGGACAATATATTCGGATGAGATTTTCTGATAAAATATTTGGATAAGATTTTCATATAAGATTTTCGGTTCAAATTTCAGATATTTTTTTTTTTTTTTTTTTCATATCAAATTTCGAATTTTCAAATTTCATATTAATTTCATCTGAATTTCAAATTTCAGATAAATTTCATTTGAATTTCAACTTTTCATTTGAATTTCAATTTCAGATAAATTTCATCTGAGTTTCAAATTTCGGATAAGATTTTCACCCTATAAAATTGCGCCATGTGTCATCTGAATTTCAAATTTCAGATAAATTTCAACTTTTCATTTGAATTTCACATTTCAGATACATTTCATTTGAATTCCAAATTTCGGATAAGATTTTCACCCTATCAACTTGCGCCACGTGTCATGTCTATCGACCTAAATTTTTCTATAAAACAAAGGCTCAGCTCACAAACCTCTCACACTACATCTTCTCAAAAATTTCATTTCTCATATTTTAGATTTCATATTTCATCTTCCATTCACAATGTCAGACATGGAAGAGGTCTTGGACAGGCAAGAGCGAGAAATAAGAGAAAAAGGCGTAGACGAGCTGCAAGCAAAAGAGCGCAGAGAGATCTAGATCAGCAACTTGTCATGGTTGTGGCCATGCTTGATGAAGAAAACCAGAGCAGTCGTGGTTCACATGAAGGCCGTGGCCCAAATGTTGACAGACATAGGCATTCTCAGGGTAAGAATCTTATGGAAGATTATTTTATCCCAACATCTCTGTACTCTGATGTTCATTTTCGAGGGAGGTATAGAATGCAACAACATTTGTTCAATAAAATCATGCATGATATTTGCAATTATGATGAATACTTTGTTCAAAAGAGAAATTGTGCTGGTGTTTTGGGACTGCTTCCCGAACAAAAGTTCACAGCTGTTATACGAATGTTGGCGTATGGTGCATCTGCTGATCAGGTGGATGAGATTACCCGGATGGGGAAGTCCACTGCCTTGGAGAGTTTGGTTAGATTTTGTGATGCAGTCGAAACTCTGTACACCAAGGACTACCTGCGCCGACCCACGCCCAGGGACCTGCAACGACTTCTGCAGAAAGCCGAACGGAGAGGATTTCCAGGAATGATTGGTAGCATCGACTGCATGCACTGGCAATGGAAGAATTGCCCAACTGCTTGGCAGGGTGATTACGGAAATCGGAAAAGCCAAAAAAGCATCATCCTTGAAGCCGTTGCAGGTTTCGATACATGGGTCTGGCACGCCTTTTTCGGAGTTGCTGGATCTCAAAATGACTTGAACGTCCTGGGTCAATCCCCGGTGTTCAATGAAGTTTTGAGAGGAGAAGCCCCAAAAATCACATATGAAGTCAATAATACAGTCTACCAAAATGGGTATTATCTAGCTGACGGGATCTACCCGAGGTGGACAACGTTCGTGAAATCACTTCCGCATCCCCGAACCCAGAAGCAAAAATTATTTGCTACATATCAAGAGGGTTACAAAAAGGATGTGGAGAAGTGCTTTGGTATCCTCCAAGCTCGGTGGGCGATCATTAGGGGTGCGGCGCGTATGTTTGATGAGGAGGTGTTGAGGAGCATCATGATGACATGCATCATCCTTCATAACATGATTGTGGAGGATGAGTATGATTACGAAGTTGAAGAGGTGTACGAACCCGATCCCATGAACACGGCCTTGACCCAAATTTATGAAAAACCAATAGGGCCAAATGGAGCACCAGTGGAGCATGAACCGTTGGTTAGAGATGGTCTTTTCATGAACCGTATGATTGATCGATATACGGAGATGCAATCTTCATATATTCATGAACGCCGTCAAGTTGACTTAATGGAGCATTTATGGACGGTGAAAGGCAATGACGGTGAATGAAGTGAAGTGAAGAACATTTTTAAGATTTTAATGTTTATGTTTTATGTTTAGTTATGTTTGGTTTTTTTATGCTTTGGTTGTGGTTTGTTTGTTTTTATATATTTAATGCTTTGGTTGTGGTTAGTTTTTTTTATGTATGGAATGTTTTGAATAAAAGGAATTTTATTTAATAGTTTCTTTGATAGAGAAAAATTAAACTTGAAAGCGAAAAAATTTAGAGTTGAAAGTGAATAAAGTGAAAAAAATTTAGAGTTGAAAGTGAAAAAATTATTGAGTAGAAAGTGAATAATTAAACTTGAAAGTGAAAAAAATTTAGAGTTGAAAGTGAAAAAATTATTGAGTAGAAAGCGAATAATTAAATTTGAAAGTGAAAAAAATTTAGAGTTGAAAGTGAATAATTAAACTTGAAAGTAAGAAAAATTTAGAGTTGAAAGTGAAAAAATTATTAGTAGAAAGTGAATTTGTTGTTAAAAGTGAAGAGTATGGATTGGTATTTATAGAAAAAAATTCAGTATTTTTTGGGGTTTTTTTAAAAAATTTTACGATTTTTTTCATAATTTTTTGCCTTGAAAAATTCTAGGCCGTTGGATTGGATGAAAATTCAGAAATCGGAAGGACCAGGTCGCGCCACGTGGTAGCTGAAAGAAAAAAAAATTTGCGCATGCTGACGTCAGCCTGCCTTCGGGCTGCTGCTCGGGCAGCCCCTGCCTTCGGGCTAGCCCAGGCAAGTGGACCCCACACTGCCCGGGCCAGCACTTGCTGTTGGAATGGTGTTTTGGGCTCCCCCCCCCCCCCCCCCCCCCCACCCCCCCCCCAGCCCGAGTGCCCGGCTGGCTGGGAATGGCCTCATGGTGATTGTGGTTTTTTGATCAACAAAATCCAGACTTTATGTATGTTAGTTTACTACTTTTGCACTTAGACTTTGGCTGTCTAAAATTGAAAAGTCTTGTATGCCAGCAGTGTATCTATGTCATACATCTTGGGTAAGAGGTATTCTTCAATTGTGATGGTTTGCTTTGTTGTACGTATTCAAACTGCCTCAAAATGTTTTCATTAGTGTCTTGAGTTCAATACCAACAAAAGGTTTTAAATGACAAGAAATTATGAAAAGCTTATACATAACAGACATATAGTTGAACATAACTAGAGTGTATATTTAGAAGATGTCATTGTGCTTCAAATTAGCAAATTTGTGGGGTGAAAACACAATGGTTGACATGTCATTCTGCATTTGATGAAAATAATTGATGACTTTGTATGGAAGTATACTCATTAAATATCTT